GATCTGTCATTTTTGCAGAGAAAAAATAATGTCGTGGTTGTCATGGTTGTGTTGATCACACCCGTGATAAACTAGTTGGCCACATAGCAACGCATAATAATACGCACCCTTTCTCTGCAGGTTGGAACATGAAAAAGGAATTTCAAAAAAACAAAAAAAGAGAGCGAGATAATGCATTTACAGGATAACTAGGTAAACTAAAACTGCACAAAAGTGGTTAAAGTTGACAACACAACTCTAAGCTATGCTTATGTTTAGGGGATTCATTTGGGAAATTTAAGGTCTGGAAAAAGACATCAGAGCATTTTAAATGTAGCATTTAATCTCAAGTACACTGAAATTATAGATGAACTTACTCTATCTTGAATCAAAAATGAAGACTGGCAGACAATAACAAGTAGAAAAGTATATTCTTTCCACTAGAGATGTAACATAGTGTCAGAGGGATATGAAATAGAGATGACCGCACTGACCTGAATGTGAAGTTATCGTACTGTAAATATGAGCGAGGCACTGCCTAAAGAACTGAACAGCTGTTTCTTAAAACAGCTTGTCAGTAACAGAGATGACACGGAGAACTGCAGGATACAAATGTGGATATAAATATGGATAACGTTTCTCCTGATCCCATAGGGCTTCAGCTAGTGAAAGCAAAGCATGTGCTGTCAACAGTGTAAGCTAATGATCGTGTTTAGGTGAAGCTTGTTTTGCAAAACTCGTGTCTCTGGAGGGCAATCCCCCCCCCCCCAAAAAAAAAGCAAAGAAAAAGCAAGAAGAAACCCTTCAAAAAACTGACAGCTATCTATCTGCAGTTCTATTTTTGTATCTTCATGCCTTGCACAGACATCTTCTTCGTCTTCATACGCCCATGTCAATTATCATATCATTACACTTTTCATGGTTTCTAAAGTTTTAATATGTGTTTTAACCTCTAAAGGTCAAATATACTCTGAGGCCTTATAAAACTATATTTCATGTTTCTTTTAACTGAGAGCAGAAAAATTTTACAGCCCAAGGGCACCGATTGAATCACTTGTATCGGTGAAAAATAAATAATTTCAGACCATACTGACTAAAATAGCTCAGAGGGACGAGAGGTGAAGAGCAACCGCGTAATCCAATGCAACTGTTTGCATAGGAAGGGAAAGGACAGCTCAAGTTCTAATAGCTTTTCAATGGGGCCAAACATGACACTTACCGAGAAGAATACAAACCATTTGTCTGTGGATTTCATGGCTGAAATGATAAAAACTCATTACCTCGCTAAATGTCACACGTGGCTAAGAGATGGAGAGAAATAGATAGAGAGATGCCCGTAAAACTTTAAAGGAAAACAAAAGGTTATACTTTCATGTCTTCTAGCCAATTTACGCGGGCTTATTATTTTCTAAACAGCATAATTCTTCACGTAACAAATTCCATATTCATCTGCATCAGTTACCAGGTCAATAAACAGAACTGTTTGTTTATTATGCTGTGGAAGCCAATTATAGGTGAGATATTTACTGCGGATAAACAACAAATAGTGTCTGATAAAACACGATGGAAGCACCATCAGCAGAGCTGTAATGAAAGCTGTTGTTGGTCCCAGCGCACACGTCTGTCTAATGAAGGGTTTTGATGCAAATAATCAAAACCATGCTTTGATATTCTGAAGCGTTTTCCCTTTCATTATCGCCAGTGCATTTTTATTTCACTTCAGATTATTCTTATCATGCTTAGATCATACATAAGAGATTTCCTCATATCAATTCTGATGCTACTTAGCTTAAATCATAACAAAACACCGTGTCAGAGTAATGATCTAATATCTTTATTGATGTTTTTTTTTTTCACGCACAGAGTCGACAGTGTTTATACCCTCCGCCGTCTACAACATAGAGGAAGACATAGGTGAGCTGCTTATCCCTGTACGCAGAAGCGGGGATGTCAGCCAGGAGCTCATGGTCATATGTTACACCCAGCAAGGTAACACAATAACTTTGTCTTGAAATGTTTGTGATAAATTGTGTCATTTCTCGAGTGAGTTAGTGCTGTCCTCCACATCAGAAGGATCCCTGTTCTCAGTACTCAGTCTGATCACCTCTTCTCGGTGAAATCGAATTTAGGCTGAGGCTGAATATCTATAAATGGCATCTTTAAAGCAGAAGATGAAGGCTGTCTTATTGATAATACATCTGGAGTGCTAATGACTTTCCTCCTTGCACATCAAAAGTGGGTGCAATGTGATACTTAATGCATTAGAGGAAAAATAAAGGCCATATGCTGATCTGCTTTTAATCACTGACTTGTCTTGATGAAGATCAATGTTGCATTAAAAGTTTTCATTAAACAGTGACATTAAGTCGAAAGGCACTGCCTTCTGTTATAGCTTAGTTTGAACTTAGGTTCATTGTACATGAAAATCATACATAAATAATTATCTTTAACGTCACGAAAAGTACACTGTTGTGTCATTTTTCTTCCTGTAATTCTTTTTTCTGTCTACTCAGTTTCTGCAACAGGCACCATCCCCACCACCGTGCTGTCCTACTCCGATTACATCTCCAGGCCTGAGGACCATCACAGCATCCTGCGCTTTGACAAGGGAGAGATAGAAAAATCCTGCCGCATTGTCATCATCGACGACTCCCTGTACGAAGACGAGGAGAGCTTCAATGTCACCCTCAGCATGCCCATGGGGGGCTGTCTGGGCTCTGAGTTTCCCACGGCGAGAATCACAATAATTCCTGATATGGATGATGGTAAGATTACATTACACTGGTCGTAAGTATGCAATTGAATGCAGTCTCAAATAGTCAGTGCAGGTTAAGAAATTTGACTGCGGAATCAGTTTAAGGCAATTTCTGCCTGTTTTTCATCTTCACTTTTTCACGTCTAATTAAAGCCTAAAAAAAAGTCAGCATGAATTTGTTCCTTAACTAAGTTTTATTGTATCTTCAGTGTGTTTTTTATTTGTGGACTTTAATTTTAAAAAAATATTTGTAAATGCAAATTTTCACTGCATAAACTGATTCCAAAAGATAAATTCAAAGAGATAAGCAGGTTGCAAACATGCTGGTATAGATATGAACGTGTGTTTGATTTTTCTTTTTCCCTGTATGTGTTTGTGCTTGCCTGCCAGTGTCTCATAGAGAAAGCATTTGAGTGTGCGATCCTTCTTCCTGAAGGCAAAGCCTTTATCTCATATCTGCAGGCTCAGACTGGAGGTCTGATAGTCTCCCATATCTTCCTGACGCCTCTTTGTTCCCCAACACCTGATGGCCTTATCCACAGTTCTCTATCGCTCAACAATCTCCACAAGCACTGCTGTGAATTCAAGACTCTATGATGCCAAGCAGGCAACACCACAGCTGAAAAAAAGCAGCACATTTGCAGAAGGGTCTTCCCTTGAATGAAAATTTATCTGAAACCATGTAATTGCAAATGTGATGTAACATTCAATTCAGAATTCTAATAGTCAGAAAACTCTTAGCCAACCATTGAGAAATGACCTTTACTTTGTGTGTGGCTAAACTTAGCTTCACTGAGATTTTTTTTACTACTCATTTTAGTTAGTTTCATTTCCCATTAGTGAAACCTCAAATGCATTCAAACCCGGATGTTTTTTATGTTTGATAAGAGTCCTGTCATTCACGCTGTTGACTTTAGTTTAGACAGCTTCTGAAATAACATTCCCTGTGACCTCAAATGTTTAGCGGCACAGAAATATTCAGTGTTCCATTTCTCAACAATAAAAAAGTAGTAGTTTTTGTTTTAGATCGTGGCCAAAAATCGCTGCCAACAAGTGCATGAACCTGTGTGACGGTGACTCCAGCAGCAGTTTTCAATTCAGTTTAAAGCCTCAATCTGTGTCAAAGACTTTTTCGCCCATTCAGTTCCCAGGGTACCTGAGGCAGCCACGCTTCAAGTGTGTTTCTTTGACCTCCTTGAGGATGGAGGAAGTTACTAAATTAGAAAGTTTTTATACTGTAGCAGTGTGCGGTGTAACCTGAGAGTGAGCACTAGGCATTTTGACCTCTACTGCTTGTGAGTACTGAATCGACTGCCAGAACAGCTACTGTGAGATAGAAATTCTTAACTGTATGTACAACAGTTAGTTGCAGCAGCCATCCTGCTTCACAAAGGGATATTCTTTCACTGCAGCTATTGAATTACATTGTCACAGTCTTCGTCGACGTCTTTGACTCTAACAGTGTGAGACATACATGTCTTAACAACCACCAGAGAGTCTACCGATTGGAGATCAAGAAAGAATATATCTGTCTTTTACTGACTGTCTGAAAAAGTCTCATAATGCTGTTGCTTGTCTTTTAAATAAATAAAAAAACAGGTTGTGTGGCAAATGAAGCAATCGGATTGTAACAGGTATCACACAGGATAAGATAAGAAAACTTAGTTTGCTTTAGAAGCGATCTCTAAAGACCAAAGTCCTCTAGTGCTGCACAGCTTCTTATAACCGATGAATAACATGTTTGTGCTGGTGCATTACTGAAAGCTGTGAAAGGCAAATTCCTGCTTTGAAATTATCCATCTTGCGTGTGTTATCTTAGCTGTTACAAACTCATCTCTTACCTAAGTAATCCTTTCTCGTATCACCAAAAGAGGTCTCATCATAAAATATCCAAAAAAATAGTCACTGTGCTAATTTGACACCTGCCTTTGCCTACATTATAAGTCCTCGGTGTATTATCAAACAGAGAAAAGGAGAAAAGGATGCTCAGGGCATCATAGGATTAACTCGACTCAGACTGACAACCAGAATTAACAGTCTGCGCTCTATCTGCTGTCATGTTCTCTTTGCCTCTGGCTTGTGACAGTCAAAATATTCTTATGCATATCAGTTGTCAGAGAGCAATGAACTCACAGTAGTGCGCCTATACAACGTAATTGTATGGAGTACAGTATACAGCGCGCTTTTGAAGAAAGTTCCTTTGTGTTCATTTTGCTGTTATTCTTAAGATCTGGTTCTTACTGTGGAACATGGAGTGAAACAGTGCCTGGAGCTGCTGTCTGACAGATTTGCACCTTATTACAATGACACCATTACCTGACATCAGATCAACCACCTGTACATGCAAATGCACACAAAAGGTGCTTATGCACATAATACGTGTAAAGTAGGCACGGCGAGTATAATTTCAGGATTAGGTACCTAATGTTACCGGCAACCACTGTATAAATGGAACGTGAAGAGCAGGGAGAAATAAGGTCATGTCGACCTTTCACTTCTGCCTCAAGGAGGTGATTATTAAATGCCTTTAATATTGATGGAGAAGTAAATGGTAAGTAGCTCTGAGTCAAGCAGAACAAGACCAATGAAATATCTGAAAGAGCAGAGAGGCGGCGGGAGATTCAGTTCCACTTCAAATTTAGCTTTTCTAGCTAGGTATTAAATTCAAGTATGCAATCCAGGTTCCCTTTGTAAGTTTGCCTCAGTATATAAGAGCTTGAGGCAAATGGGGGCATCGCATCCTTCTTTGTTATCCCTCTTGTAGGAATGCCTGTCAAGCGGGTGCTATAGGAGGGAGGTAGGAGTCAGATCCTGGCTAAGCACCTGCCCCTGCCTGTGAGAGGTCCGCGCAAGGACTTCCCAGGAGGGCTCGGAGTAGGTTTGCCAGCTTGTGGGGTCAGACAGTTATTAAACATATACTACTGATAAAGAAAGAAAGAAAAAAAAATAGAAAGAAAGAACTCAAGAGAAAAAAAGGAGGGGAAAAAGCAGCTGTCTTCTTTCCAAGCTGGAAAGCTTTAGTGCTGCAGTGAAATATGAAGCACGCACCAATATATGCACTCCCTGCTCTGTGCAAACACAATCCTGGCCACCTACTGCGGTGGCATGTGCAAGAAACCACACGTGCTGTAGAAGGTGGAGTTGCTATTGTCTGCCAGTAGTCTGATATTAATCTGACAGTTTCTGGAATTCTACATTGATTATGTCTACAGCTTTTATGCCTAAATGAGGTGAAGTTTACTGCAGTAATAATCAGGTTTAAAGACCCGTGGCACAGAGAGAAGACCTGTTTTCTTTCTGACCAAAAGAATCATTTTACTATTAGCACCGATGCAGAGATGGCACAGAAACATATATTCAATGTATATAATATGCATGTACTGTGCAAATGGCATCGGGCTCCCTTTCAGAAACAATTAAACTGTCAGGCTAGAGGAGGAAATACAACAACAAAAATCACTCATAAAAATGAAACAGATACTGAGGAGAAGTAAATTAAAAAGCTAAACAGAAGCCAAAATGTCCTAATAACAAGTGAGGACAGACTGTACTAGCAAACTGAAGCCAAGAGAAGACAGCAGAACGTAACAATGAAGGAAATGGTAAACAACAAGAGAAGCTACAAACTGACAAGCTCTATAGAAATTTCAAAGGCAGCGCGGTAATTAACATGAAACGGTGCCTGCATATGCTCAGAAAGGTTCAGGTGGTTTCTACTACTTATACTGAGATCTAAATGCAAAGCGTTTCACAATCCTTTTCTGTTCTCTTCTCATCAACAGAAATACACACTGATGCAAAAAAATAGACACTACAGAGCTACTGCCCTGTCATAAAAAAACGGGAAAAATCCCTTTCAGCTCTGAGCTTATTGTTAAACGTCAGCTTATTGTTAAAGACCTGTGGCACTGAGAGAAGACATGTTTTCTTTCCAACCAAAATATTCATTTTACTAATTAGCACACCTTCACCCACAGAGAGCGAATAAAAGTAAGGCAATACCGCCAGACTCTGAGACGGCACAGAAACTGATATTCTTGTTTTTGAAGGAAATTTGACTGATCCATCACTTAAAGTCTCCCCAGGTGGTCTCTGGAGTTGTACAATTTTACATATTTCTATGTTAGTCTGGTGGTTTTCTCTTACTCTTACTCGCTCTCTGTGGATGAAAGTGTGCTAATTAGCAAAATAAATGTATATTCTGGTTGGAAACCACATATCTTAAACAAAAAGATAGATTGTAGCAATAAATTACAATAAATATATATGATTACTACTTTTCCTGGACACATTTAAATCTTGTAGATTATTAGCACTGAAAGGGATTAAGGTTTTCAAGCTGTCCGGGTATTCTGCAGTAAAAGGAACATCTGCAAACCATAGAATACCTGCTATTTTCCCAGCAGCAGACCATCTGCGCATAAACGGCCACATCCTTACAGACTCCACTCTGGCTTTTCCTGTGATGGTTCGGAGAAACTTGTCCTTTCTTGCAGCGGTAATTGCTGTTTGATATTGACTTTGCATCCGGAAAAATATTTTGGTGGTTGGGAGTGAAAGACATGAGAATGCTTGTACAGCAAGACTTGACTGGTGTGTTTATCATCTCGTGTCACTTGGCCTGTAAATTTCGCACTGGTTCTCAAGGTATGATTATGACCTGTTTGAAAGATGGGCGGGTTCAGTGCATGTGCTGTACATCCTGGATGGGGATGAATTGAGGAAGACCTCTCAAACCCCGTCATTATGTCTCACCTGGATTCCCGTTCGTTCTGATATAAACAGATGTCTTAAAGCACTTAAGCAGAGAAGTGCTGACTTCAGTCGTCGGCCTTAAGAGGCTCAATCTAGACCTTGCTTTGAATTTTCAAGCGTGCATTGCTGTCAGCCGTTGTTAAAGTTGTTGATTTTCCTGTATTGAATATGGAGCTGATTTTGTATGCATTTTCTGCTGCAGAGAGATTTGTCTAGCACACAGTGGGCAGAAGTGCATTTGCCAGGGCTCAATTGAATCTCACCATTAGACAAGCCACTTAACGCTGTGGGAATGTCATGCAAAGTTCAAGTGAAATCAAGCAGTCAGTGGGAGCGCAACAGTCTCCTTAGGGATGTCTGTGTCTCTCCTTGTGCCTCTTCTTTTATACTATGTTCACGCATATGCAACAGTAAGGATATTTCTTTGTTTGCTATTGTGTTTCCGGCATATTACACAATAATGGCACGAGCCCAATGATTAAATCAACGGGCCTCTTACTTCTGATCTACATTTTTATGTTTAATTTCAAAAGAAGAAGCCCTGTGGCTTTTTGCTTTTATTCCACATTTAAAGTTTGTTCCTCTGTTTACAAAGATATGGGATTTCAACAGTTTACATGATTTTGCATAATACAAATAGGTCTAAATGTGCATCATCACCACTAACATCCATGTAATCTTAGATGTGCTTTGAGGTATAGGAGGCTACTGCTCGTGAATCAAGGATACGGTGGCTTACCTTTCATTTAATGAGTCATAGTTCTTTGAAGCTCAGTGTTTGTCTGCTGCACAAACCTTATCTGATTACTGGGCTAGTACAACAGGGCCTGAGTTGCTGGCTGCTCACCTCAGGTTAGTAGATCTGATTACTCTTCCAGTTGGGGTCCCACTGCAGGCAGCCAAAACCATCTTTGTTTGTTCTCTCTGTGGGTAGAAATTCTGGCAGCTGCAAGACTCCTGATGCACCACTCTTTGTCTTGGCCATGCTCTCAGAACAGATTAAAGCATAAAAGTCGTATGTCCTTTGCTTACGCTTAGGAATAATATTACTTCAATCGCAGAGATGGTTTCTCTAAGAACCATGAAACCCCAGGCTTTGCTTAAAAGACCCGTTCCTTTTTTGAACTTGTCTTTTCTTGCTAATATCGAGCAGTTGCTGCCAAGGCAGACTGCATCAAAATATTCCAGATCTTCTAAGAGTCAGATTACTTAGAAGTAGAATGTGGTGAAAAATAATAAACACTTTTCCCTGATCCGTAATAGAGCCTGGCAGCACTATTGACAGTTAATCTCTGTCACTAATTCTCTGTTTCCTTGGTCTTGTGTTTTGGTTTCACTAGATAACATAATCATAACGCATAACAGCGTGGATTCGTTTAGTTTAGTTTTTTTTTTCTCATTGCGTTTATCGCTCCGTTCCACATATTCAGTTTTGCCCCATACTGTGTGATGAGAAACAGCTAAGTACCTTTTTGTAGGTGTATTGTCATGGAAACCACAACTCTGCCCATGGCCACTGACATTCACTTAATTTATTCATTATTTGGTCACAGTAGCTTTTGAAAGCCCAAGGTTTTTACTGCTCAGTTGTGGCTCTCATTAGTGATATTAACTACAGTACTGTGCAAAAATCTCGAGCCACCTCTCATTCCTTTATATTTTGTTGTATCTACACATAACAGACAGCTTGGCAAAGAAACAATTTACATTGTCAAAACGTATTTTTAGGTACTTTGTTACTAGCACCTTTTTGCAAAAACAGTCTGCACAGGCATTTGACAGCAACAAACTATTATTTGTGCACCAACAAGATGATTTCTAAAGAGCTATTAGCTGAAAACATTGCATGTCTTGACATGCTGTGCAGTGTGTCCTTAAAAACAGTGAGCAAACTGGACAAATGGGGGATTTTTTTTTACCTGATTTTTTGTTTTTAAGAAAAATGAGAGCCACATATGAAGATATTTGTTTAAAATTTTAATAGAAGAGTGGCAGTATAATGTCCTCGTAAGTGGATATCAGGTCCTTTTAGAGCAAAAATTAGTATTTTGGTCTAGACAACCCAAAATGTTATGTCCACATATGTGGACGTGGGTCCTAGGAGGTTAAACAAAAACTGGACTGAGTGGCAAAAGGTCATATGGAATCCAAATGTAAAACTTTTTGTTCATTCATGTCGTTATCAGTATGTTCAGTTGTGAGCGGTACTACAGGGAATGTCTACAGCAATCTGTATTAAACCCCCCAAAATTCTTACAGCATCTTCTTAGGAGAATGTCCACCAAAGTCCAAACCCTTACACAACCATTTCACCAACAGCATAACATGCTGGACATCATTGCGAGGACACTGGTTCTGAAAGAGTTAACTAGAATAACAGTGGGTGAGTTTGGCTGCAGTGGAATCTCAGCTCAGCTCATAGAAACACTAATTGCAGTCAGGCAGGCCTGGGCTGGCGTATGGAGCTTTACAACCCCCCAGACCTTCTGTCAGGCCTCCTGTCTGGCTCTCAGACCCATCGCTATCAAAGTGAGCTCCACCAGGACAAAACCAGCCGTCAGGTTTCTTTTTTTCCCCTTTGGATACTTGTCACAGTTAAAGGAATGCCACCAAAACATCGTGCGAGGAAGTTAGAAAGCGCTATTTAAGGTCTACAATTACTGTGTTCGCTACCTGCTGCTTATTCAATGGAAAAGTTCCTTTAAAATCTCCTGTAATCAGAGATAATTTTACAGGTTATGCTACCTATTAAAAGATTCAACTCAGCAATTACACCAGACATTCAGATATCCTGTTGTGATTCGGGTTGAGGGTTATTATGGTCTGCATTCTCCCACGTGTTTTTCCTCATGTGTTTTTTTTCTCTCGTTTCCAGATCCCGTCTTCTACTTTGGCAACACAGGCTACCACGTGGATGAGAGTGACGGCTACGTGGAGGCGCAGGTGTGGAGGACAGGGACTGATCTTTCCAAAGGAGGAACTGTCACAGTGCGCTCCAGAAAGACAGATCCCGTCTCAGCTGAAGGTATCTGCTGGTCCCCTTCTCTAACAGCGTTGTCTAGTTTATTCTTAGATAAATGTAAATCACAGAAAACAAAAGATTTAAGATGTCACATTGATAGTCATTTTGAGCTCAACTGTGCAAACAGATTTCAGCACTGAATATGTTGAGTGGATGGCCTAGGGGAATGTAAACACTGGTTAAAGGTGGGGGGAGGGGAGCTAGGGCTTTTCTGTTCGGACCATGTCTTATACGCGCTGGATCTACACATTGTTGTGAGGATAATGACAGTCTGACTGAGAATAATAGACGCTATAGGGCAGACTGTAAGACTGGTTGCTATCCCTTTAAGTCTGCCCTATAGCGTCTATTATCTGGTTCCCCCAGGCAGTCTTCTCTCCTTTGCACAGATTCCTAACATCTCTACTCCTGCTTGCTTTTTAACTGCAAAAATAACCAAAATCTAATCATATGCAGCATGTTAGAAATTCAGACTCACACTTACACACACAAGTGGGTCATAAGTACATGAAAAAAGCCTGAGGGCAAAGTTTGAGCTCTCAATACTCAGGCGCTTCACGGAATAGCAGATGAATAACCTGTCAGCACTCGGGGAGATGTCCAGATTCTAGCAGTGCTGCTTTAATATCACAACAAATTCCAATTGTTCATGCCTATGAAACATGAAATAGAAACTGGCGTTTTGCTAGCATGAAGTATAGAACTTAGTATTCAACTTGCTTGCAGCCTGAGATTCACAAATGCATTATGAACATGAGAGCTGTTGTCAAGAAAAATATGATCATGTACTGTAGCTGATTTTTGCTATATGCACTACGTTTTATAAACACTGTTCTTTGAAACGTGTCTGACCTATATTGTGTTGTGGGGCAGCTGGTGTGGATTACGTGGGGATCAGCAGGAATCTAGACTTTGCACCAGGGGTCACCATGCAGACAGTTCGCGTGACAATCCTGGATGATCTGGGTCAGCCAGTGCTGGAAGGGCCAGAGAAGTTTGAACTGGTACTACGGATGCCAATGAATGGGATCCTCGGGGAGCCAAGCAAGACTGCTATCATCATCAACGACTCCGTTTCTGACTGTGAGTGAAAATATGGGATGCAATGAGAGCTTATTAACATGGCCACACTTATCTTTATCTATTATTTCTGATTTTTGGATTTAGTGCCAAAGGTGCAGTTCCGTGAAGCTACGTATGTGGGCAATGAGAACTTGGGGCAGATCTCAGCCACTGTATACCGTAGCGGTGATATCAGTTACAAGTCCACAGTACGCTGTTACAGCAGACAGGGAACAGCACAGGTCATGATGGACTTCAATGAGAGGCCTAACACAGACGCTTCTATCATCACCTTCTTACCAGGTTGTGTAGTAAAACCTTACACATGTCCTCTTACATGGTTTGTGTGTGTGTGTATTTCTTACCTGCCCATAGTATTATAAAGCCCCTTGTGCTATATAAATAAAATTGAATTAAATTGGTAGGCAGCACGGTGGCACGGTGGTTAGCACTGTTGCAGCACAGCAAGAAGGTCCTGAGTTCAATTCCAACATCAGGCCGGGGTCTTTCTGTGTGGAGTTTGCATGTTCTCCCCGTGTTTGCGTGGGTTCCCTCCGGGTACTCCGGCTTCCTCCCACCGTCCAAAGACATGCAGCTTGTGGCGATAGGTTAATTGATTAATCCAAATTGTCACTAGGTGTGAATGTGAGTGTGAATGGTTGTCTGTCCCTGTGTGTTAGCCCTGCGACAGACTGGCGACCTGTCCAGGGTGTACCCCGCCTCTCGCCCTATGACAGCTGGGATAGGCTCCAGCGCCCCCAGCGACCCTGAAAAGGATAAGCGGAAGCGAATGGATGGATGGATGGATGAATTAAATTGGAACATTCAATTCTGAAATATAGTTGGAATGGTTAATTACTCATTTGTACTTTATTTCAGGAGAAATTGAAAAACCGTGTTTACTGGTTTTGGTTGATGACACTGAACACGAAGAAGAGGAAGAGCTCCGTCTTGTTTTGGGAAGCCCTAAGAGTGACTCTCCATTTGGAGCATCCATTGGAGAGCAAAATGAAACACTGATCAAGATAAAAGATGATGGCGACAGTAAGAATCCTTTTTTTGGGCTAAAGACACAGTGTAAAGGCTTTTGATATCATTATAACACATTTAAAGTTAGATTAGATCTACAATAGTGTTTTTTAACAGATCACAAAGGTTGTGCCCACTGTGACTGTAATATATGGTATGTGGAAATGTCACAGTTATACTTTACTGTCAATATTTCATGGTTTTTCAGAGGCAATTATTAGTTTTGGAGAGACCAAATTCAGTGTGACTGAGCCCAAGGAAAGTGGCCAAGTGTCTGTAGTAAGGATCCCAGTGCTGCGTGCTGGAGACACATCCAAGGTCTCTGTTGTCCGAGTTCACACCAAAGATGGATCTGCTACCTCTGGGGAGGACTACCATCCCATATCTGAGGGTAAATAATACTGCCAGGCACTTTTATCCCTCTAGCACAATTCTGAAATTTGCTCGAAAATATATTTGTCAAGTGTCTCTCCTTTCTCTCTGCAGAAATTATTTTCAAACAAGGTGACCGAGAGCATTTTGTGGAGGTGGAGATTTTATATGATGGTGTAAGAGAAATGAGGGAGGCGTTCACCGTGCATCTGAAGCCTGACGAGAACATGGTGGCAGAGACAAAGGTGAAAGCCAAACTAAATTAGTGTTTACCTTTAAAGCATCTAATTACCACGTTATCACTTTGCAATCAGTAATTTGCTCCCGTTTAAGAACCTCTCTTAATTGCTCTTATTGTCAATCAGCAGATGAGTAAAGCCATCATTTATATTGAGGAGACCAACAGCATGGCAGATGTGACATTCCCCTCAGTGCCCAGAGTGGTGTCGCTGCTGCATTACGATGACCCCGATGGAACCAGGGGCTCTCTGCCTGTGGCCGGATACCCAGTCATTTGTGTCACTGTATGTCCTAACTGATACTATGATAAATAGATAATTGTTGTCATTTTCTGTGTTAATGGTTAATTTAACAAAGCTTTGTGTCTCACAAGTCCAGTTGAAATCTCTTAATGAGGTAGTATTTAACAGATGTGCACACTTTGTTTATTACGAGCTACCTTCAGGGCTCCTCGCTGGCATAAAGAAACAATTCTGCTGTAGGTTTTGGTGGTGAATTTAACTTAAATGCACTGTTTCTTTTCCCATTTCCAGGCTTGTAATCCTAAGTACCTAGACTATGACAAAACAGGCTCCATCTGCGTTAGCGAGAACATCAACAATACCCTAACTCGGTATCGTTGGCTCGTCAGCGCCCCCACTGGTCCAGACGGCGTTACCAGCCCGATGAGGGAAGTTGACTTTGACACCTTCTTCACCTCGTCTAAAATGATAACTCTGGATTCAGTCTATTTCCAGGCTGGTTCTAGGGTTCAGTGTGCAGCAAGAGCTGTGAACTCTAATGGAGATGAAGGTCTAGAACTCACTAGCCCCATAGTATCCATCAGCACGGACGAGGGTGAGTTTAGTCCATTCGCTAACTTTGAACATTCAGTGTCTTTCATAAAAAGAGTTAACCATAACAAAAGCTTGAACTGTTTTTTTAGAGAAATAGAATATTTGATGTTGCTTTGTATTTTTCATGGTTGCAGGGATGTGCCAGCCCCGTGTTGCAGGCACAGTGGGGGCCGAGCCCTTCTCTGCTAAGCTGCGATACAGTGGAGCAGAAGACACAGACCACCCCAATCTTATCAAACTAACTGTCACCATGCCTCACATTGATGGTAAGCAATTCCTGACTAAAAATTAAGACTAATAGGAAATCATGCAGAGACAGAATGTTGTTTTGAATCATCCGTGTCACTGATCAACCATATTCTTTTAATAAGAAGCTACTTAAGTTATTCACCAATTATTAATGCTGTCCTACTGCTACATGTGTGTCCCTGTAGGTATGTTGCCTGTAGTATCTACACGGCCTCTGTCAAACTTTGAGCTGACGCTTAGCCCCGACGGTACCCGTGTTGGGCACCATCGCTGCTCCAACTTGCTGGACTACACTGAAGTTAAGACTCGCTATGGCTTCCTCTCTGATGCCACCAAAAATCCAGAAGTAATTGGCGAGACTGCACCTTACCAGTACAGCACTTCCCTCAGGGGATCCAGCACACTACGATTCTACAGAAACCTTAACTTGGAGGCTTGTTTGTGGGAATTCACAAGCTACTATGACATGTCTGAGCTGCTCAGCGACTGTGGAGGCACCATCGGAACTGACGGACAGGTAAGCAGTCCTGCCTTGGAGGTCTGGCTCACCTTTGAACCCGTGGCTAAAACAAGCCTTGTCCATTTGCCTAGTTGTTTTTTACTTTGAAGATGAGGTAAATCCTGGCAGATAAAGACTACACTGTCTGGAGATCTCTTCAGTTCCTGAGAGGACCAAGGGTTTGTCTTGCTAAAGTAGCAAGTCTCCCCGTTTTCCTTTTTTTTGCTATTGGCACATATGCCTTACAGGCATCAACACTTTTTTTCACCTTGGCAACATATTCTTAATTTAAGTTCAGTTAATTAAAACAGAGTGTTGATAAAGATGGTTTGGAAGCGTACGGGGGCAAATGATGGTAAAAACCTCCTCTACAATCCATGCTGATGATTATTAATTCATGCCCTACAGCACTTGCAAATATATTTTGGCTCTGAGGATATGTCGAATTGAATATTGGCTTGGTATTATAATGGGAGATACACATTTTACATAGCTCCGGGTTTATTTAATAACAAGGGCATCACCCAGGCGATAAAAGCCTTTCTCAACAAGTGGAACTTTGTTGCCTTAAGTTATGAGATCTAAAAGTGAACGTAGCAGAAATAAACACGTCTTAGCAAGTAAGCAGTCTGCTGCCAGTAACATAAACTTGATTGCATATTTCTTTATTTATTAGTGACCACATTTATCGGAGATATTACTTAAAAAAACAAACAATACATTTATAAGTTATGAAAAGATATTAATGATGTTTTTTTCACTGGTATACATTTATATACAGGACTTGTACTGTGTATAAATGTATAGAGTCAGGCCTCACAGGTTCACTTTGAGCATCAGTGGAAAAAGGAACAGTCTTTTTTGTGGCTGCCCTGTGACCCAAGTGCTCTTCTAAGTGGGCAGGCTGGCCGATTGGAGACAACTCTGTGCAGGCCGGGGCGACTGTCATGTCACAGTGCAGGGCTTAGTGCCCAGCCTAACAGGCCACAGGAATCTATTAAAGCCCAGCAGGTTGTGTCAGAAGGCCATTCTGCAAATCGTTTGTCTGAGCTCTAAATGCCCAGAGGCGTAGGCACGTCTCCACATGAACACAGAGCCAGTGCGGGCAGGTACCGCTCACAGGTCAGAGGAAAGTGCAGATACCAGAGACTGCTCCCACTTTCACCACTTTGACCACTTTAAGACAGCTCTTTTAGAGCAGGAATGTTTCCAGTGAGTCAGTATCTCCAGCAGCAGTATCACATATGTAGAGCATTATTGCAGCCACATAACAGTTATAAAACTGCATAAAAATGCAGTCATATCTTACTGCTATACATCTTAAACTGGACTTGTTGGTGTCAGATTTCCCTGTAAAGTGTCCTTTAAGTCCACAGCACACACATATACTGTACACATGACTACATGCGAGTTATTAACTTCAATAACATGAAGCATTTTCAAAATATACCTTAAAACAGCCACAATGGCAGAATATTATCCCTCATTTTCTTTGTGAGCTATTCTATGTGATGATATCGTGATGTTGTTATGTCTTTGAACCTCAGGAACAAGACCAGGTTCGCCTTTGAAGTTTAAATTTAATCTTTGTCACTGCAGGTGCTTAATCTGGTCCAGTCCTTTGTGACCCTACGAGTCCCATTACATGTGTCATATGTCTTTCACTCCCCCGTGGGAGCGGGAGGATGGCAGCACTTTGACTTACAGTCAGAGCTGAGGCTAACGTTTGTGTACGACACTGCCATCTTATGGAGAGATGGAATCGGTAGCCCGCCAGAAGCTGAACTACAAGGCAAGATTTGAGCTGCAGTTTGCAACAAAGATTTAACACAATACTTTTATGTCATTTCTACAATCTAAGGCTCTGTAAATGAATGAAGTATGCAACCTAAAGTAGTCTGTCACTGTCTTTGCAGGTGCCCTTTACCCAACCAGCATGCGTATAAATAGTCAAGGACAACTAGTTGTCAACTTCCGCACAGAAGCTCGATTCAGAGGCCTGTTTGTGTTTTCACATCCAGGTATGTCACATCAGTTATATAATATGCAGTTTAAATGCAATGCTGCTCTTTAGCACGTCATAATATGTTTCAAAAATGTAAAATAAACAGATTCTAGAAGATGTTTAGTGTAAAAAAGGGTGACCTCGGCTTTGCAGATTTTACCTGTGGCTTATATTTAACTAATGATATTAACCAATAAGGTCGTTTTGTGTTTGCTTCTGATGACTGATGTCTTTTTTCCCAACAGCGTCACTACTCACCTCCATGGTTATGTGTCCTGAACACCCTGGTTTAACCTTTAACCTTAGCCTTGTCAGGACTGAGCCAACTTACAGCCAGCCTATCCAGCAGTGGATATTCATCTCTGATTTTGCTGTGAGGAGAGAGTTTGCTTTTAAAAACAGCCCCATTTGTTTTCTCATTTATTTTTCTTACACTTTATTCTTAATTAATCGAATTTTTCCACTCAGGTGCGTGACTACTCTGGCATGTACACAGTGAAGCTCCTCCCCTGTACGTCACCTCCCAGCCTGGAGTACGCAGTCCCTCCTGTCTGCAATCCCAGAGAGCCTCTCACCTTTGACCTGGATATCCGCTTTCAGCAGGTAATTCCACCTTGTCTAACAAGTTACGCCTGCATCAGATTTAACCATTCATTCAGAATGAAATGTATTTGTGTTTAGTGGCTACACTGTTTAAGTGATAAACATTTTAACTACTGTGACAGCAATGAAACACTATTACAAAACCCCTAATTATTTTTAAAAAAATGTCTTAATTAAGTGGCATACTGAACTTGGTAGTATGGTGCCAGTGGATAATTTCGTCTTTGCAGTTTCTGGATTAAATTCTGTGGCTATTGTTTGCAAATGCAGATTTATTTATTGTTTAAAAAAAGCAAATTAAAATTAATCACCATCACATGTTTTGGAGATTGAATTTCAGAAAATACAATCCCTCCTCTGCTCTCCACATTTACTGTTTGTCTACTTATAAATCCAAGTATACGCAAGAGTGATTGGTCAATAGGGCTAAAAGTGGACTACATACAGAGAGCTTGCCCTTTTAGATCCCCTATAGAGTCTCCATATTTGGATGTAGATATCTCTTTATGTAGACTGTATTATAAGTAAAAATATATTTTTAAACACTGATCATTACACTGTTTTCTCATTGGATCCTATTCACTTACTTGGTTAAATATCTGACTCTGTTATTCCTTAACTGTCCTCCCTATCTAATTAAGTACACATAAAACAGTAACTCTCCTCTCTTAAGTCTTTAATCAACCTTCTCATTTTGTCCACACACTGTTGCTATAGTGCATCTCTTCACTGGTGCTGATGCGAGCATATAATCATCTCCAGAATGAAAACACAATTTTACTCACAATATACACTGATCAGCCACTTCATTAGGTATACCTGTTCGACTGCAGTCAACTGCATTTATAGAAATATCTGATCCAAATATCTATCCAATCATGTGGCAGCAACTTAATGCAGGTAGACATGGTCAAGATGACCTTCTGAAACTCAAAATTTAACGTTAGAATGGGGAAGAAAGGTGTTTAAGTGACTATAAACATGGTCTTTGTTGGTGTCAGATGGGCTGGTTTGAATATTACACAAACTATTAATCTACTGTGATTTCCCCACACAAACATCTCCAGGGTTTACAGAAAGCGGTCCAAAAACGAGAAAATATCCAGTTAGCAGCAGTTTTCTAGGTGTTAGAGGTCAGAGGAAAATGACCAGACTGCTCCAAACGAATGGGAAGCCAACAGTAACTCAAAGAGCCAATCATCTCTGAACACAAAAACACATCAAACCTGTCAGCTACAGCAGCAGAAAACCACACCAGGTGCCACAGGAAACTAAGGCTGCAAATTAAAACAACTCACCAAAATTACAAAATAGAAGGATGGAAAAATGTTGCCTAGACTGATGATTCTCTATGTTTCCTGCAATATAAGGATGGTAGGGTCCTAATTTGGCATAAATATCATGAAAGCATGGATTCTTCTTGTCTTTTACCAGCAGTTCAGGCTGTCACGAAGCTTAAATCATCTCAAACTGGTTTCTTGAACATGACAACAGTTCACTTTACTTAAATGGCCTCCACAGTCAACATATCTCAGTCCAATAAAGCACTTTTAGAATGTGATGAACCTGGAGATTCACATCATGGATGTGTAGCTGGTAAACGTGGAGCACCTATGTGATGCTTTCATGTCAATATGGATTAAATTCCTCTCTGAGGAATGTTTCCAGCACTGTTGAATCAATGCCATGAAGAATTAAGGCAGTTGTGAAGGCAAAAGGGAGTTCAGCCTGTTACTGGTAGGGTCTGTCTAACAAAGTATCCTGTGAATGTAAAAAAAAAAAAAAAGAAGACCATTCAAATCTTCACCTTCTGTAGTTAAATATCTAAACTATAAATAAATAGTAAATATGTTTTTTGTTTTCTGTCTTCTGTGTCTTTTTAGGTTAGTGATCCAGTGGCTGCTGAGTTCAGTCTGAACACACAGATGATCTTACTTTCTAAACGGACACTTTGGCTCTCAGACGGCTCCATGGGCTTTGGACAGGAGAGTGACACTGCTTTCTCAGAGGGTAATACTGCAACATTTCTAAAACGGCTTGAAAATCTTAAAGAAAAAATAAATTAAAATGTGAAAAGAAAAAATAACATTAAAGGAAATAAATATCCTGCAAGCTCCAAATATTTCTGTGAATGTTTTCATTGCTCAGCTGCGTCGACTTCTCTTCATTCTACAGATCAAAAAGAAATTCCTGTGTGATGAATGGTTCTGTTGATTTGGCAGAAACGTCCCCCATTATTTACTGACTCAACAACTCAACAAAGCAAAATGAAAGGAAAATGAGGGCTTCATGAAGTGCCATTCTGACTACTTCCACATCTTTTTCCTAAACAGGCTAATTATGAGAATGCCTGCATTTTGTGTCCATCAACAAGGTCTTAAAACACTTAAAGTCCTTGAAGCTGCTGTCTGAGTCAGTGTAGAGAGTGAGAGTGGTTTTAGCTGGGCTTTTAGTGGTTTTACCTCATTATATAGCTGAGCAAAGTACAGTCATTTGAGAGAACTGAATCTGCAGGCATAATAGAACCACTTTTACTAACTTTTCATTAAACCATCAAACTTATGCTTGTAATGACTGATGTTTTACTCGTGATGAAATCTTTATTCCTCTTTTATCAGGGGATGCAGTTTATGGGAGAGTGATGGTGGACCCAGTACAGAACTTGGGCAGCTCCTTTATTTGTAACATAGAAAAAGTGTTCCTGTGCACTGGAGCAGACGGATACGTCCCTAAATATAACCCGAGCAATTTTGAGTTCGGCTGTCTGGCTGATGCTCCATCACTGCTTTACAGATTCAAGATCATTGTAAGTAATAAAATAATATTTCTTATAGTATCGCGTGTACTCTGGGCCTATTCAAACTTCATCGTTTCCTGTGTAATTCCTTGACTTCAGGACAAGGCCCAGCCGGAGACACAGGCTCGGGTATTTGGTGATGTACCTTTTAATGCCTTCCTGGCAGTGGATGACCCCGGTGCTTTAGCACTGGTGAGACAACCTGGTTCAGATGGTTTCAGAATGGATTCTACAGCTCTTTTCCAGGTCAGTAAAAACAAATTGAAAACACTAAATACTTCACACGATCTAAAATCACAAACCTATGAGTCATTCCAGAGAAAACAATACACTGAAACTATTTAAAGTTAACTTAACCTGCTTTTATGGTGTGAGCATGTATCCCACTCCACTCTGTAGAGATCACAGACTAATAGCACTAGACTAATGGGTTTTTATTCCGCTGACATTTTATCCCTAACAAGCTGGTAGAGAAAAAGACTTAATGACCAGACACAGTCTGTGCCCTCATGAAAAGCTCCTTAAGTTGGCTTTCATAGAGGTTATAATACCAAAGTTATGTATTTTTGGTATGACTCACACTCTCCACTTTTCACCATATCCAAATTGCTGCTTTTGGTCAGGGAATCTATGTTTCTTGGCTTGTTAACAAGGAAAAGTCAGTATCATTAAGTCTGCAGACTGGCAGGGCATTTTCCAATGGTTAAACAAGTTTTGTGCTTTTCTATTCATTCTATGCAGTGACTGGACTAAACTGGACTGTGAGGTTTAGCTCTGTTTTAATCACAAAATAAAACTGAAATTGTTCCTTACAAGAAAATGTCAAAAAATAAAGGTTTCATAGCACATACGTACTACTCTCTGCACAGAACTGTTAGAGCTGACTCTAATGGGTATAGTTTAATAAAGCTGGCAGTTAAGAATCTCTGAGAATAGATATACTTTTAGCCTTCCATTAAAATACGGAGAGGAGGTAGCAAAAACCACTTTATCAATTCTGTCCTTGTCTTTACCTGGGTAATTTGAGACACATGGATGGATGGACATTAAAATAATAGCTGTTGCTCGTTTCAGGTGGCTGCAGGAAGAGAGTGGTACATACACACCATCTACACTGTCCGGTCCAAGGACAATGCTAACCGTGGCATAGGGAAGAGAAGCCTGGAGTACCACGTGATGAGTCAGCACACTGATTTGCTTCCGAAGAGTCAACATCGCCTCAGAAGATCAGCTAATGACGTCCTAGATATAGTAGAGGACATTGGTGTGAGTAACAATCGTGGCACCAACATCCTGCACATCGCCCTGGACCGCAGTGGCCAACAGAGGACGAGCCCGGACAGGGAGATCTTTACCAAAGGACACATCCCTCGAGAGCTCAAAGAGAGGGACAGTGACGACAGCCTGGTTTTGATGATTGGTATCTTTGTGGGGCTGCTACTTACCGTTCTCGTCATCATTGTGGTGGTGTTACTAGTTCGGTCCAAACAAGAGAAGAAAGAAGTGCCCAGGAACTCCAGCAGCGCAGAGCCCATGATGACACAAAACATCAGTGACAACTCAGAAGTCTAACTGACAGACTGAAGATCGAGAAAGTTATTTTATGTTGCAAGTGCCTCACATTTACATAAAAAAAACTGAAGATTGCGTGTGAAACAACACAAACTACAAGAGCTTTGATTCTATTCAGAAATCTACTTGAAATATTGCATCACTCCTCATGCTGGAGAGTGGTTTGGACACTAGGAAACGGACAGTGTTAGTAGCTGTTTTAAGGCACTTGTCGAGTTGTCACTTATTAATTGGCCTTTGATGCCACTTGATCCAAAAAGGTGTTATTAAGTTTCCAAAGGTGCTACAGAAGATGCCTCTTACCTTGAATGGCGTTTGGTGTTTTGCTGAGTAGGTCTAGAGAGGCCGGATATTTTGCATTTGCTGACACTGTCCACAGTACGCTTTCACTGGAAAAACCTGTCTGTTCTTACAGAGAATGATTCGATTCTGTGTGTGCCTAAGAAGTCACAGGACTTTGCGGTTTTATGATGTAAAATGTGCGTCCTGTGTGTTCCGTAAAACGCTCAATTGAAAATCATCCAAGTGAATATAATTTTCTTGTGCTTATGTTCTTGCATGCAATTAATTTTTGTACTTTACGATTTTAAAAAAAGTCTCACTGCTGATTTAAACTGGCTTGTGGCAAATGTGTCTGATCTACTGTACTTCCACATGTTTGTATTTTACAGTATATCCCATAAGAAACTGTATTTATCTAATGGTAATTGTTCTTCTCTTAGTTAACATATGACACTGAATCAGATAGGGGAACTTAAACAGTTCTCTTAAAGGATCCTGTGGTGTTACAGCAGCTTTCGGGATAGCTGGTCTGCAGTGTACAGTGTAATGTAGTAATGGTTTCACATCCACTATTTCTAACAGGAACTACATTCACAACTGGTACGCTTAAATTCTACTGTAAGTGTTGCCTACTGTAGCTTTGTAGAGCTTGCTAAATCCCTTTCTCAACAGGGCTACATGTTGACTGTGCTTTTTTTATGCTTTATTTCACTTAAAGGGAATGAAATGTTTAATCTGCAATCATTCTCTCTTTGATTTTTTGATATTTTGGTTTTAAATATATTTATTTTCCAAGTATTGTTCTGTTGACACAAATCAATCCTTTTCCGCCTTTGATTTTGATTCATCAAATCTTTTTTTCTCAAACGGTATGACATGCTTATTATTGTGATATTGCAGTAGATATTAACAGTTTGCATTGAAAGAAAAAACGCTAAAAACTTTATCCATGTTGCCATAAAATCCGATTACCTCATACTGCTGTGTATCCTATAATAAACATCAACTTCATAATCACTTTATAAATGTCAAGTTCGTTTGCTTTTTTTATTATTATTTTGAAATTGAAAACAATTCTATGCAACCGGTGATAAAATACCTTGATGAAATGTTTATCCACAGTATGAGTTTTTTGTTTTTCAGTGCACATTTTGCTTGCTAATCTAGGTTTGACACTGTATCAATGTACTGTGCTTCTTTTACTATACTCTAATACGCTGAGTGCATTTTTTATGCACATTGATGTATCTATGTATATACACATATGTATTACATATAAATATACCATTTGGATGTTTTGGGAACCGTTACTGTTAAAAGATGCATACTGTATGTGCTGTAAGTATTTGTAACATAGACCAGGAAGACAACATGGTCTGCAAATAAATAATTTTTCAAGAAAATAGCATTGAACTGAATGATTTCATGAAATCTGTATAAATACAGAAATATTGGGAAAAGCAGCGTCATAACAAGCCAGTGAAATTGAAATTTGTACCCACTGTAGCCGAAACTGTGTGTCCCCAGTGCCTGTGTAAATTACAATTTCATTTTTACTACTGTTAAACGATTTGGTTTTATTTAAATGGTGGGGGAGGAAAAAAAAATTGCCTGCAGAGCAAACAAACATAAATGTTAGTCACACACATACACGGCAAGCTCAGTAAATCATGTGCTTTTATTACCAGTGCATATTCATAGAGAAAACAAGACTGGGTTGGATAAAATGCTTTAGACACATCTCAAAAAGATGAGCATGTCTTTGCTCCTGTTTGGCAACGAGTCGAGGTGCATGAAAACCACAGCTTCCTAGCTGACTTCACTGGTAGAATTTGAGTCATATCCTGCAGCTCAGTAAAAGCTCCACACTGAAAGGTTATGGAAGTGTCTGGGTGTTCAGCACAGTACTGTGATTAATTAAGTCAGACTTGGAGTCTGTCTTGGCTGCACTCGGTCTTTCTTCTGTTGTGGCACCGTGTTTTTGTTTGACATTACATAGAATGAACAAATGAGTCCTTCATTTAGAGTCACGGCATGATGGAAGCCAGGCAGAGACTCCAATTTGACAGAAAGCTTAGAACAGTATCACAAATAGTGTACTCTTAAGCGTGAATGTGCTTGCTAGTCAATGTCCTCTCATAAACGGTCATTTCTGGTAATACATCTGTAACAGTTTCTAATATGAAAACCACAAAGCAACAAACACAATAAAACAGAATTCATCTTCCGTCCCAAAAAGCTATGACCTTGGATTCAGATTAAATTTGCACAAATTAACAGTTTTCTCGCAAAGCTCCCAATGTGCCTGTTCCACTATTATGTCTATGAGTTTATGAAATTTAAAAAAAAAAAAACAACTATTTAATTTTCTTCCACTGATATTGTGAAATTTGGATGGATTTCCTGAGATATCTGTATTATTTCTATCCAGGTGGTAGCACTTGAATAAAAGCTATTGAATTGTTAAAGGCAAGCCAGTGCTTCTATGAACCCAAAATCCTAAACACAGAAACCTAAATACTGATATTCTTTGTTGTTATTGTAAATAAAAACCAGATAGGGTTGTAGCTTTGGAAAAGAGCTGCCCAGGTGCACAAACACTGATCTACATTTCCCAGATGCGGGTGGATACTGAATTCTGCTTTAAGGGGGTTAATTTGGGGAAAGGGAGAAAGTGTGAAGCTTGAAAGAAAGAAAAAAATATTTAGAAAAATAATTTGCAAATGCTGAGCTAGTATAAAATAAAATAAATTAGCATTTTACATTGTTTTTCCCCTTCAAGATAACAGATAATAACAAAAACGATCATTGTGCTGCTTGCAATAGCAATAAATATGACAATTCTTCATTTAAGCATGTGCTGGGTATGTTTGAAAGCACACTCTTTAACAGCTGCCATACACATGTTTAAAATCCGGAAATCCTTGACTCCTGTGATCTGGTCTGCCACAAGGCTGAGTGTTCAAAAAAAAAAAATTATAGCACATACATAGGGAGTGATCTAATATACACAATATACATTCATGTATATACAGTACATACAGCAAATCAATGCACAGATGGTGGTGACACTTATGTGAGATGTCAGTAAATGAGAAGTTTTACATTTCATTGCTGGAGAAGCATAGCGCTGTTTATTTCACTGTAAGCATTAACTAGTTCATGAGAAAGCAACTAATGGGTGCACTGTGTTGTTGTCTAGGTATCAAGATAAAGTAAAGCTTCATGCATCTGGACGAGTTATGGCTGATTAAATAGTTCCAACTATCTCCTACCCTGTCTGCTCTCACACAAAGTGTTGTTTAAGAATACCATCCACGTCAGTATTTGCAGATTTTCAAAAACCAGTCCATAGCTTCAAGTCATCGCTTGTTCCGAGGTACGCTACGTCACTCAATTTTAAAGTCAACCATCAGTTCCACAGACAGGATAAAACATGGACGTAGTTTCCAGGTCAGCAAAAAGGAAGCCAGTGCAAGCAGCAGCTTAAAGGCCATCACAATGCAATAGATGTAATTGCAAAAAGACTTTTATGAAGAAGTTTATGGGAAAATGGCTTTCTGTCTTGACCTCTGTAAACCCTTCCCTCATGACTTAGTCACTCATTTTAGGGCACACTGAATAAAAAATTAAGTCTATTTTGTAAATCTTGGCCATACAATGTTTTAAAAAGGATCATTATCTGCTGATTAATGTACTATGATTATCCCAATCATTGGCTAACCACTTGTAAGTCATTAGCCAATGAGCAAGCAGTTTCAGATTTAAACCCACCCCTCCTCATCACATCTGGTATTTTGAAATGAGATGGATGATGTCACAAAAGCGACGTCCACCTTTTATGCTGTCTATGGTCAATTCACATCATAAAGGTAAGGTGAGGCGACACACAAAAGGCTGTACTGGAAAAATCATTGCACCTTGTGGAATACATTGGTTGTGTCGTCAGTGCTTGCGGTGTTTAAGATGGCTATCTCGGGTATCTACTGTAGGTAACGGTAGACCTTGAAGCAGTGGTTCCCAGAGTCTGCCACCGCCACGTGGCCATCAGATGTGAGAGCCAAGCCCTGGGGGCCATAAAGCGGGTCCGCTGATGTGTTGATATAGGAGAGGAAAGACCCTGAGCTGTCAAACACCTGGATGGGTATGGAGAATTGAAGGACAGATTAGATGAGTGACTACTGCAAGTTGTAACGCAGTTCCAATTACTCATTTCCTCAAACTAACCTGGATCCGACTGTTTCCCCAATCAGCAACAATGATATTTCCATTGGCATCCACAGCCACACCCGTTGGAGCATTAAACTGGCCGTTCCCCTCTCCGTGTGAGCCAAATTTAAACAAGAACTCCCCATCTGCATTGTACACCTGTCAGGTAAGATTAAGCATAAAAGAAAATGGGTGAACGATGCTGACAAGGAAAGAAAAATGTCAGTGTCATCCTCACAGCATGAGAAGCACAGCAGTGTGTGATATTTGGTTGAGTCTGCCTGCCTTTTCTTGTTCTGTTGAAACTGATTGATTTTAAAATCGGTCCAAGTGCATGTCTGAAAACAATGGGGGGGAACAGGTATGCAGCCTTTATCCGAATGCTAAGCACTATTTTAAGATTAAAAAACCTGCAAAATAAAGAAGCCATCGGAAAGGGTTGCTTCAGGAAGAGAGTTTAGCTAACAACTCTGACTTTGTTAGGCTCCAGAAAGAGAGTTGACTTGAACTCTGAGCTTAACAACAACCAGTGGTTAAAAAGACTTTTTCCATTCATTCCCTTGTCAACCGTTAAGGATGGAGACAGCGATTACAACTCAGACTTTTAATCAGCTCACACTAAAATCTATAGTCTCCATCTTGCTGTCTCTCAGACTCTAGACAGTAATGCAGCTGTCAGACTGTCAGCCATATTCCCCACACTGTAATTGGTCACACTGTGAAAAATGTCTGTCACAGTTGGATCTTCTAGAGGATGTGAACATTTGAGTGAAGATTAGGCTGAAAGGACTTTCTTTAGGCCTTTGAGTCATGAGTTTTTAAATGCAGCTACAGACAGCCTGTGTCCTGAGCTTTTCATGTTCAGAAATGTGTTCACAGATTGCGTTTCAGTCATTAAATGCTGTCAAAAGGCACAGTGTCTGAAATTCATATGCTCTGTAACAGATCAGCAAACTGTGTCCATGTTGGAGTCCACTTGCACGGCGGGACGGATCCAAAATGGATAAGGATCAGACCCGGACTCAGTTTAGCACCAGTCATTTCCCAGCTCATCCATCTGAATCAGTTCAACAGCTTAATTTCTTCTGATTATAATCTGCATTCTTTATTTAAAACACCTCATCCTAATATAATGTTTTTAAAAGCCATTTAAATTTAAACTTGTTTGCAATTACAAAAAAAAACAACAACTTTACATTCATTTCAATTATATTAGAAACTATTACTAAACTTTTACTATTAACAGCAACATCTAAACACTGTTGCTATGACTGTAAAAAAGCCATCATCTATCAGTGCAGGCTGAAATTAGATCAGATTATAAATGGTTAAACTGGGAACATTAAAGCAGAGTTTTTTCTGTAAATTTCATTAAACTTTTTTATCCAGCAATCTCAGAAATAATGAAACTCTCTGTATGAAAAATTAAGCTTTTTACACTCCATTAGGAGATTCAGTTTTTACTAAATAATCATTCAGACAATGAAATGGTCATCACCTGTAGGAAAAACAGCTTTTATTTAATTAAAAAAATGCCCTGAAGGCAGATCTGCCCTGTAGTCTGTTGCTATCTGGGTAATTAATATCACCGGTCCATAAGTAATCTGTCTGTTATCTTTTGTTTCTTTCACTTATATTTTACCCTTGTTGGGTTATGGCTGAATAATTAGATTTGAAAATCAAACTGAAAATCAGGTTTAGAGATTTATCTAGTGAAAATTCCAGTTGGGATAATGATGACCACAGTCTGCCTATGATGATGACAGAGCAGACCAACCTGACTAAAGTTACTCTTTCCTGCCCTTCCATTTGAGATAAATACCACGGTCAGCACTGACGCATGTTCATATTTTTCAGTTTACTGGATTCAAATGGAGGCTTTGCTCTTTATTTACCCGTTGCCATGGTGAGTCCTGATACTGGAGCACTACCGATGATGGTTTTCTTTTTCTACTCATGTACACCCTTAATTCAGCTGCTCTGGAACCAAAAACTCAGACTTGCTGATCTCAGAGCTAATCAACTCAGGTTTATTGAACACACTTTCTGGAAGAAGTCCCAGGTTTTCAAACATAATGTTCGCACATACTTGCAACGAGCCATACCTTCACTGAATGGTTGTGGAAGTCTGTTACCACGATCTCATTTTTGTTATTTACAGCCACAAAGTGGGGACCTGAAAGCAGAGGAGACGGGGAGGGAACAGCAAAGATGAGTCATCCGTCCGTTTACAGTGTATGAGATGAAGCGTCATACTATTTCTGGACATCAAAAACAAGACACCAAGTGATCACAGAGAAACTCTCAGAGCTGAGACATGACAGGGCTGAAGCACCAACATGTAGAAAAAGAGAACAAAGATTCTTTTTTTTTTTTAGCTCACAGTCACAGTGAATATATTACTTACTGAAAACAGGGCCAGATTTACTAATCTTTGTATCCAGTGCAATGTTTGCACCACTTTTCTCTAAAAGAAAAGAAAAGTTATAAGTGAGAAATGAAAGTGAACGAACGGGTGAGTTCAACTTAAATATTGCTGTACAACTGGAGCGGCATCAATGAGGGATTCCAGCAAAGCATGCAAATTAGTCCCGCCCCCCCAACATCTGAACAACAGGGAAGGACGATCATCAAAACTTGGCATGCAGTAGTGTACATCATGAACTGCGGACTCCAGCTGTGCTATGATGACAGGGTGTATAATTTATCATTTATAATTAGGACAATCAGTGCAACAACCAAAACATTAACTGTGTGTTAATGTCTCTAATTAAGCAAGTAGCTATACATGCACTCATTAGTTAAAACAAATGAAGGGTGCATAGAGACATGCTGATCACTAGCACTGTTCAAATCAACTTTCCTGTGAAGAAACAGAAATCAATTTTGTAAATCTGGCCCAACCACATGCCCTGATACATGAAACTTGATTAAATGTTCATCTCTGTCATTTTCTGTAAGACACACTGTTAATAAAATGATCATATATATATATAAAAATATCCCATTTATTGATTTAACATCACTCAGTACCTGCAAAGTGTCTGTCTGATGTTCCTCTGGCACCAAACTTTGTCACCAACTTCCCATTTGATTGGAAGATGAAGACACAGCAGGCCTTATTATCAACCGTGATAATGTGTCCATTCTTGTCCACAGCCACACCTTTGGGGCCCATTAATCTTCCAGCACCAATCTTATTCTGTTACAAACAAAGTTTTGTTTT